TTTTTTTAGTTGTTTGGCCAATTTCTTTCTAGTTTTAGTAGAGACGGGGTCTCGCTCTTGCTCAGGCTGGTCTCGAACTCTTGAGCTCAAATGATCCACCCACCTCGGCCTCCCAGAGTGCTAGGATTACAGGCGTGAGCCACCGTGCCCAGCACCCCCATGCTTTTTTAAAGGACAAGGTAGAACAATCTAAGAAGTCCTTCTTATCCTTCAGGGAAATTTACCAGGCAATGAAGATACTCAACTTAGAAAATGAAGGAAACCAAGAAATGCTTCAGGAGATCAAGAAAAAGGTAAATAAGTGCAAGCTGTTTTTCAAGAGAAAATGTGGCGCTCTCAGAGTTCCTCAGACCCTTTTTTCCTCCAAGCATGTACATACCCTCTTCTCCACCACAGAAATACTTTCTACAAACTCAGATACCATATCACATGAAGATATAAAACATCCATGCAAGAATAGGTTCTAAAATCCTATTAGTAAAGATAAAAACAAAACAAAATCCTATTAGTCCTATCAAGTAGCCCTCAAAATCAGGGTTTATTGTTGTGGTTTCTAAAATACTATTTCCCTTCCCATTTTCTCCCCACCATCTCCTAAACTCAACTAGTTCTTTCTTATTTGCAGATAGGCATAGAAAAGGAATCAGGGACTGGAGCTGGCCCCCTAGATTTTCTTCTGAATTTTCCTTAATTCCAAATCCGGGTTCTTCACCAAAGGAACTCTCCAGCTGAAAGGGTTGTTCTAATTTCTCAAAGCTATTAGATGAAAGAATAGAGGGAAAAGGACTTTAAAAAGGTAATTCACGAAACCAACTTCACATTAAGCAAGTATTTCTTAGCAGTTTCCTTTCATCATGCCCAAAAAACTAAGGTAAAATTTTCATTAACAGTGTAAAAAATTTCCAGCCAATATCACAAGAGACCAATGTTCTTAGGCATTTCTGTACCACCTAATACTAATAAGCATGATGCAATCAGTTACTTTATTAATGCTTTTTGATTCGCTGCCTAGTACAGTTGTTTTTTTTTTTTTATTTCAGCATATTATGGTAGTACAGTTGTTTTTTTTTAACATCATTTGCTCTAATCTAGATTCACACACTAAGCCAAAAGGACTTGCTGACGCAGAAAATATTCAAGCTTGAGAAGGTCATGGGAAAAGTGAGGGAGGAAGCAAAACGTGTTTACTTTCAACCCAAAGAAGATGAAGAACCACTGGCACTCCATACTTTACTCCAAGCAACTTTTCAGGGTAGGTTTCCTAGGGGTGAGTCCTATCCCTTGACTCCTTTAATGAACCTTTTCCAGGATTTGGATGTTTTGGGACTTAGTAATGAGCCCTGTAGGATGAAAGAGTCAGGAAAAGCTACTTTCCTTTCCTTCTTGACCATCATCCACTCAGTTTTTGTTATTTTTTTTTTTTCCGTCTCCCATGTGTTTATTCATTTGCTGTTTCATTCCTTAAAAAAAAGAATGAGGTAACTCTATTTGAACTGATTTAGAAGTCAAGTCATTAAAGGACATTTTAGAAAAACACGAGTCTTTATAAAACAAGAGCTGTGTATGTTTAAGCACCAAAAAAGAAAAAAAGCCTTATAAGCTTAATCTTTAATAGTGGTTGCCTCTGGAAAGTGGGGTTGCAGAGAGCTATATCCTTTTTACGTAGATGTACATCTATGCTTTTGTAACTTTTTAAAAAAGACTTTATAAAGTTCTCAACCTTAAATAACTGAACCTATCACTTATGGTGATAGGATTCCAGACATGACTTAAATGATGAGGGTGCAGTAATCAAGCTGTACCAAAATATACTTACAAAATCCGCGTGCCCAAGCATAGCAGCAGCCTCAGGTCACTCAGCCAGCCGCCTACCAGCTACCACCCCAAACCCAGGTCTTCTGGTTCCAAGTCCAGTGCTCTTTCAGGTACAACAGGCACTTTCCCAGCAACCATGAGAATATTCACTTGCCAGATTTGGGGAAGTTTCTTCCAACTGCCAGAAAAAAATGAAAGTGGAAAGTAACTTGAACACCAGCCTTTCCTCATGGCCAGCTTGCTAAAAGTTGGTTTACTGAGGCCTATGACAGCACAACTAGGTGACATGCTTCATCTCTGGAAGCATTGCCAACCACTGATAAACCAAGCACTGAGCAAAAACAATATAAAGTTGACCTTGCTAGTGGAAAATAACTTTCCTACTAGGATTGGGCTGTTTGGGGTTCAAGTAGCATAACTAAAATGAATAAATTACCCCCAAAGTTAGAGAACTGGCCCCAAATAGATGAGTTTCTCTTCTTTAAATGGTTACTCTTCTCCATTTACATCCTACAACCACCCCAAGTTGCTTTTCATCTCAGGCATTATAGCTTTTCCCTATCTACCACCCTCTCCCACATTTCTTCAAACCATCCCACATAATACTCTAGCCTTAGAAAAGGGAAACAGTCTTTGGCACTTTAATAACTTTTCTAACGTCCATTTTACAAAGTTAATAACAAACAGGATATTGACTCCAACCCTCCCCCCAAACTGGTGAAAGAAAACTCAAATGAAAGATGCAAATTCCAAATAAAAACTTCTAAGTCTCAAGCAGAATGACATGACCAGTGCTACACAGTACACTGAAGCCTAAGGGTGATGAAGCTGGTGCTCTGAAATGATCAGGGATCAAGGTTACTTTTCCACCTCCAATGTCTGCTTTTACATTTGTACCTAGATGAGGTGGTTCTTCCTAGAAGACCGTCTGAGGTTTGTGACATTGAAGCAGTCATAAAGGTAAATGTGAGCACACTGATGATTATCAAGGTAAGAACATGAATTTAAAAAAAAAAGTGGCAGTGCTAGGGAAGAATCACTACTGCCTTGTTTCCAGCAATTAACAAGAAAGTAGTTTAGGTTAGAGGCATCTTGGTTAGCAGCAGCCCTTTATCATACAACATGGTTGCCAAGGAAAGTTGGTCCTCCACACTGTCACAGGGCAGGTCCCCTACTCTCACAAACTCTGGGTAGGAGCGAAGCAAGAGTTCCATGGCATCAGCTTGCTGGGGGTATATTTCTAAGCACTTGGGCTCTTCCAGATGATAAACGCGTGAGTTTTCCACTGTGTAATAGAGAAACAAATGGCCTCCCTCACCCACCAGACGAGCTATCCCATCCTGAAGCATGTGGACTTCTGTTTCTGTTGTCAACTGGGCCCCCACATTTACGGGTTCTCCAACCTCCCAGCGAATTGGGAGCCCGTAAACACTTAGTGCCCTCTCCCTATCAGTCAAAACAGGGGGCAGAGAATCATGGATGAAGTCTTTGGCTCGCTGGTCAGCCACAGCATCCACAGGAGCAAAGTGTCCCAGCCGGGCAACTAAGACCCGGACCTTCTCCATGAAAGCGGTTCTTCGCGGATCCTTAGAATCAGAATGCTGGGCCCCCATGTAATCCATAAAGTCTCGGGGAAGACCCCTCCGAAACTCCACATTTTCTTCCATCGCAGCCTGCACAGCTAGAGGCAGTACAGCCTCTAGGAAGTCACCCCAGGTATTGCGCTGGTAAGTTGACAAGGTGAGGTGCAGAGAGTGGACTCCATCCTGGCATTCGGCTTGGTGAATGAAGCCCCGAGGAAAATAGAGCAAATCTCCAGGTTCCAGCACGGTCTGCAGCACCGGCTCACCGAGGTCGTCCTGACTGAAGTTGGGGCTAGATGTCAGGGCCAGTTCCTCAGTTGGGACCCGGGGTCGGTAGACACGCCAGAGTTTCCTACCTTCCAGCTGCAGCACGAAAGCTTCGATGTCGTCGTAGTGGGGGGCAAAGCCCTGCGAGTTGGGGGGCGTGAGGTAAACGTTGGAGCCTGCCATGCTTCCAAACTGCTCCTGGAGCACAGCCAAAAGCTGCCACACAGTGGTCGAGAAAGCTTGCGGACAGAGGAGGCGCAGGGAGCAGCCGGCCTGGTACAGGGACCACGCAGCGGCCGGCAGTGCGCGACCCGGCGGGTTCAGGGTCTCGCGCCGTCCGTTGATGTAGCGTGCGGCGTCCAAGTGCTGCCCGAACTGCACCTCCTCGTTGCGCAGCATCGAGTCCAGGTCGGCGGTAGAGAAAAGGCCCTGGTAGTAGGTGCGGTCCTGCCGCCGCACCAGCACCGCCTCCCGCTCCCATAGGCGCCGGTAGAAATGATCCGGCGGCATCGGCGCGATGAGCCACTCAAAGAGGCGTGCCGCTCGCCGCCGGCTGCTGGGGATGCGGTTCAGCTCCGCCAAGACGCTCTGCAGGGGGGAGTCGCAGGACAGCTCCCCACCCGTGCTATCCACCTCCGGCCCCGACAGCATCGCAGGGGCCCCGGAATGTGGGGCGGCCGCCAAGTGCTGGGCTGTGCAGAGCAAAGCCGAGTTCTCCACCACGCGCGCCGGCGCAGCGGGCACCTCTACCAGGCGCACGGGCGGCGCCGAAGCGGGCGCCAGGCGCGCCGGCGGGGTCTGCAGGGAGCGCGTGGCGGGCGCGGCCTCCAGCAGCTCTGCAGGCCCCAGGTGGCCGTAAGGCTCTCGCCGGGCCGCGTCCGGGATGGCGGCCGCCGCCGCTGCTGCCCCGCCAGGCAGAGAGTCCCCCAGATCTTCGGCCGTGGACTCCACCCTCGAGTCCTCCGAGTCTTCGCTCGGCAGCGTCTGGGCCCTCAGCGCTGCCATGCGGGACGCAACACTTCTTCTCAGCTGCCTCCGTATCTTCCTGGGCCTCGAGGGTAGGGCCAGGACCGATCCGCTGTGTGGCTGGGGCTGGCGCCGGCGCCTCGGGCGCCCGCGCCGCAACAGCCCTGCACTAGCCCGGAGCCCATCCATGGCCGGACAGTCCTCCGAGCCCGCGGGGGCCGACAAGGAAGAGACTCACGCTGGCAGCGGCTGCGGTGCACCTTGGGAAGGGGGCGCGGCCTCTAGCCGCTCCGGGCTGGCCACGCCCACCGTCCTTCCACTGGGCTCCTCCGGCTCGCCGGGTTAGCAAACGTTATTTTCATTAAATGAATGGGTTCACACCGGAGCGGAGAATCCCTGCCAAACTAACAAGGGTTCCATATTCAGAGGGCAATTTAAAAATCAAGTTGCTAGGGACTTAAGGAGAAAGACATGTGGCTACTTAACTCTTTTTTTCCTGCTGTGTTAGTCTGCATATTGCAGTGTTCCTCGGATGTCTTCATTTCTGAACAGGATGCTCCTCAGCAGCTTCTCACGGGAAAGTGCACAATTCTTGTTTTCAAGGAATGCCCTCAGGCAAAGGTCGAGATTCAGAATGCCTCGGGCAAAGTTTGAAATTCTATCGGAAATCGCCATTCCACCAGGTTCTCCACAATGCAGATGCCTCATTGATTGAAGCCCTAAGAGTTTCTCTCCTGGCTTTCTGCATTAGAAATCCTCTCAGGCTTTGTCCGGTCCCTGAAAAAGAAGTAATTACCTTCTTTACTTGCATTCTTGGTATTTGCCCTTCCCAACCCGCTGGGCCGTTGTTTCATCAGCTACAACTTCTCTCCTCTACCTCCTGTGAATCGTAAATCTATGTCTCTCATTTAACAGGCAATGTGGTAGGCATGAAAGTGTAATTGTTGAGAACGTGGTCACTGTCTTCATGCCAACTAGGTGCTTTGTACATAAAGATTACTTGTTAAAAAAAAAAAAAAAGATTACTTGTTAAAAAAAAAAAAAAAGATTACTTGTTGAGGCAGAAGGATCGCTTGAGCCCAGGAGTTTGAGATGCTGGGTATCTTGCCCTTTTATTAATAGGTTTTTATTAAACTGCCCTCCAAAAAGGTTTACAGTGTTAGTTATTAACATAAGCATATTAGACTATAGTGCATGGCCTCTAGGACCTTTTCTGTGCTTCTGTTTGAGCTTCCAATGCCCCCTCTTTCTTAGTTGCACTGCTATTCAAACACTTGCCAAAGCTTTTAGATTTTATCTCTACCCTTGTCTGATATGCACTTCTTTTTTATTTCTCACATGGTCTATTACACTGTTCTAAACTAGGGGTAATTTTGCCTTCCCAGGGACATTTGGCTATGTCATATGAGGGGGGGACAGTTCTAACATCTGTTGGGCAGTTGCTGCTAAACATCCCACAATGCAAAGGACAACCCCCCACAACAAATAGTTTTCCTGCCCAAAATATCAACAGTGTAGTACTGAGGCTGAGAAACCCTGGTCTATTACAAATAACCTCCCAACCAGTATCTTTACCTTTATGCTCTCCCATGGCAATTTATACCACAGATAGCTTAATTTTCTCAAGCTGTCGCCCCAATCCTGTCCTCTCCCTACTCAGAACCTATCCATGTGCCTCATTGACCAATCTAAGCTCTTCAGCTAGGTACCAAAGTCACATAATGTTATAACCTTATCAGCCACAACTCCCCTAAACTCTACTTCTACAAGCTAGTTTGCTGTTCCTTGCCTATGTCATCCATATGTTTTCTCATGCTGTTCCCTCTAAATGATGTCTCCCAATCATCTTTTGTCAAACTCTAATTAAAGCCCATTTCACATTCCATTTCAAAGGCTCTACCATCTCTCTCTCTAATCACAAAAGAACACTGACCCTTTCACATGAATTTAACACATTGTGGAGCCAGTGTGTTGGCGTGAGCCTATAGTCCCAGCTGCTTGGGATGCTGAGTTGAGAGGATCACTTGAAGCCAGCCTAGGCAATAAACTGAGATTCTGTCTCTAAAAACAAACAAACCAACAAACAAAAACACACATTGTGGCTGGCGCGGTGGCTCACGCCTGTAATCCTACCACTCTGGGAGGCCGAGGCAGGTGGATTGTTTGAGCTCAGGAGTTCGAAACCAGCCTGAGCAAGAGCGAGACCCCATCTCTACTA